GTGACAACACAATTGAACCTCTTGGCCTTGAAAGAGTTGGTGTAAGTGGGAAGGGCAAAAGAAGAATTCTTTGGGGATCTGTACACTAAAGGAAACAGCCTTGAGGAAGCAAATGCAGTTCTCTTACTGCAGCAAAATCTTGCTACATAGTAGGAATTAATTTGCACCTAAAGAAAGTGGCCTCCGGCCTCAGTCAAAAGAAAGATAACACACGCAGAAGTCCAACAAGAAAAACCTCTCATAAAACAAATGTGCGTCAGTTATAAAGACCCAAAGACAGCATCGGCCACATCTCACAGAACTCAGGTCAACACAATGGAAGTTCATTCAGCTTCTTTAGTCTTATATTTCATTGCTGTGGGAACAAAACCAAATGACTTCCCTTCCATTTGCCCACAGACAAACAAGAAATTCACACTTCATTTAGAGGGCTATTGGGGCAGTTGGTTACACATCTTGTAGTGCTTTAAGATGTCCAGATAAAGGGTAGCTGGAAAAGGATAAAATATTATTCTTTTCAAATCCATACATGACTTGATTCTAAACAGGACAGAGAATTTGTCAATGTATTTACATTTCATTTTAGTGAAAGGTTTCCTTTCCCAAAGCAGAAGAAAAATGCAGCTAAGTGGAACACTTGTGATTCCCCACACCCCCTATATTATTACTAGGAAAGGTGTTTAGACAGACAGTAAATGATAAGCAGATCAAGTGAGTGCAGCTATAATACGACAAGTAAGTGGAACAAAAAGTGTGTAGAGGCAAGAGGCTTAAGCCTTTCTCCTGAAGTTATTCAATTCCCGGTGTATTAAACATGCCAGATGGATAGCATGGCTGCCTCAGTTTCAGAAATGGCAGGCTGGCTTCATAGCAACCCACACAGAAACGGACCGAGGTCCCAATGTACCAAAAGAAACATGAGAAAAAACAAAATTAATCAAACAAAAATCCTTGAAATAAGGAGGATCTGGGGAACTACAAGCTCATCAGCCTTATCGAAACCCCTGGTAAGATTACGGAGCAAACTTTCAAGGCAGCCATTTCCAGACACATGGTGGTTGGGAACAGACAGTATGGAAGGCAAATTTTGTCTAACTAGCCTTACTATCTGTTACAGTGAGATATCCAGACAAGGGGGAAGTAGGGGATGCTGCTTACCTTGGCTTTAGAAAAGCTTTCCACTCGGCCTCCTGCAGCATCATTGGAGCCAAACTGGATTTTATGAGCAAATTAAAAGGGTGAGCAAAAGGTGACTGGACCACCAGGCTTAAAGAGTAGTGATTTGATGATTCAAAGTCTAGCTGATGGCTGTTATGAGCTGCATTCCTTGATCCTGGGGCCAAGACTGATAACTACATCTACATTAACAACCCGGATGATGGGACGTTCATCCTCATTTCAGTTACAGATAACACTAAACTGGGGCAGTGGTGGATATGCTGCCATATCCATTCGGCTGCCACTGAAAGGGACTTTGACAAATCGAAGGAATGGGCTAATGAGAACATCAGGAAGTTCAACAGTGGTAATCCTGCACCTGGGGCAGAATAATCCCATGCAACAGTATGGCCTGAGAACCCAAGAGGAGCTCCAAACCAAAGGGCCAGGGGGCCTTGAGGACCAAGTGCACGTGAATCAGGAGCACACCTGATACAGTGAGGGCTGGTGACACATTTTCCAGTATTGGTGAGCGCTACCTACAGGGAGGAGGGGAGCCAGATTCTTCTCAGAGGTGCACAGCAAGATTATGAGAGGCAACAGTCACAAATGACAGCAAGAGGATTTTTTATTAGATATAACATTAAAATAAAAAAATCACAGGAGTGACCAAACACTGGTAAAAGTGCCCAGAGAGGGTGTGTAATCTCCGTCCTTGGAGATTTCCAAAATTCATCCATACAAAGCTCTGAGAGTCCTGATCTAACTTGCAACTTCATCCTGCTTTAAGTAGGGTTTTGGCCTATACCTCTGGAGGCCTCTTCCAACCTAGCCTCTTTCTGTGATTCTACTAGCTGAACTGCAAACCTAAGACACATTTCAATTTCTGAAACAACCTGCCTAATGAAATTACTCTGTACATTGAATAGGCCAAGAGTTTCTTATCATTTACTGTACTCGGTGTCCTACACTAACAAGTAAATGCAACACTTCAACACTGGAATTGCTGTATTTCAGCCACTTATCCAATTTGCATGACATACATTGAGGAAAAACAGATTCTACAGAAATAAAATCTCTGCCAAAGGCAACAGGAATCCATTCTCCTGAGCTATGGTCTGGTTGATCTCACTGTGAAACAACCAGCCCTCCTCACCTTCATATACATATCACTGCATCCCACCCTTTAGCTAGGTAAGATAGAAGATGCATGAATCCAAAGCAACAAGCTTGTATTTAATTTTTCTTGAAATCAGAAGCACCTACCTGGATACCCATTGAGGCCATAGGCTTTCCACTGGCTAACTGGCTGTAATCCTGCCCTGTAGGCATCTTGATCACTGACTGAAGAAATACTGAGCTGTGATCTGAACACCTGGCAAAAGAAAACAAATCTGGTTAAAAAAAAAGTAAGAAACACAAAGCTTGTCCAAAACCAGCACCTATAAGAAAGACTGCTACCACATTCCAAAGTAAGTCTCATGAAAATGCCAACTGCACCACAGAACTACTGCCTGAACAGCCATGACCAGGACAGGGCATTCTGGTAACAGAACTCAACATAAGAATCAAAGGATACCTACACACTTTTACAATACTTTTACAATACTAGAGATGGAGAGAGGTGTCCTCCATTCATAAAAAAAAACCCCAAACACTATGTAACAGTGAGAAAAAAAATCATCATTATTTATCCATTTCCACAGTACAGCCTCATCATTAAAAAACATTCTGGTAATTATCAATCTTCATTAGAGAGCAACATACCCATAACACTTAACACTTTCAAAGAACATTCCAAATACAAGTTGCTCATGATCCTATAGAGTACATGCCTATTCTCTTCTGTAGTTCACAGAAGGAGAAGCAGTACAGCAATTATGTACCCAAAGCTGTCTGATGTGAAGGACTGCAGAAACCCTGTCAATTCTGAATACCACACTGCCACTTCTGTTCCCAACAGCACGGTCAACAGCCCGAGGCTTAGCAAAATATATTTTCTTGACACATTCTTTTAAGTTGCAACAACACATGTATTTAAACTGCAATAAGCCAACATTTGCAGAAAAAAACCCCAAACTCATCTACTGCGTTTCCACTCCTTTTTCCCCTTATAACAGGGAACTGTCCTAAGAAAGGCAGGGTAGAGGCAGGTAGGTTTTGTTCCATCTTAGTTCCCCAGTTCAGCTCTCCATGCAGCTGTGGAAAAGTACAGGCTCATAAAGGGAAAGAGATGGCCAGGCACAGTAGGAATAAGCAGGCAGAGAGAAGCAAGACCTTGTCTATGTCAACTTAAAGTATATGTGAAATTAGGGTCTTTGCACACAGACTCTGCAGTGGTGCATGTGTAAACCAGTCTCTCTGCAGGCTGACAACTCTGGTTAACATCTTCTGAGCAACAGGACTAAATTACATACATAGAATTTCTGAGAAAAATCTAAACTGGTGTTGGGCAGCAGCTTCTTGCAATGTGCTCAGTTTTGCCATTTTTTCAGCTCTCTGCCAAAAGCAGCTTTGTGACTGCCACCCCCGAGGAGTTTAGTTCACAGTCCTGTCCACAGAACATCCCCAGTAAGGCTCTCCCTCTAAGACTCTGCCACCTCTCTGCCTGCTCAAACTGCTTCCACACCACCTGTTGCCTGGGCTTTTGGAGAACAGGCGGTTTCTATACTGAAGAACTACACATGCTGAATCAGTTAAATAAGCCTGGTAACAGGGCAGATGGGGTATGTCACATTTCACTGAAAAGCTCAATTGCTTGAAGCAGTTTTCTGAGAGAAAAGAAGCAATATTATCTGGGCCAATTTGCCTGGCCTGTAGCTCTTTAAGAGAAAAGCCAGATGTTTTTAAGCTGGGGGAAAGATGTTTTCTCTATTAAGCTGTCACCTGATCTTACAAGGTAACAGGCACAAAAAGAACGATATTGAGAGGGGACAGATGCTTGGGATGCTTTCAAGTACTTTGAATTTCCCAAAAGAGCCATAATACTGTAATCCTTTATCAAATACAGAATTCCTGCAAGCTCAAGAAAAGCTGAAATGTTAACAACTTCCTTGGTTAATGCTAATGCCTCTAACAGTGTCATACGGGTCAGGCTTTGTGTTCCATTTATAACAGCAAAGTTATAGCCTAAAAATAAAAAATAAAGAAAAATAAATATTTTAATAGAAGAGTGAAAACAAAAGACTAAGCATTGCAACTATGAAAAATTGACAGCCAAGTTTCATTTTAACTATATTCCCTACTCCTTTTTCGATGCAGGCTCATAAGTAAAAAATCTCTGGTAAACAATACTTCGGCATGTATCTGTCATCCTTTCATGACAAAATAGAAAACTAGTTTTGAGGATCACTTCTCCATTACTCAAGACATGGTAAACTACTAACCACGATGGCTGCTACTTTCAGCTGTGCTCCTGATGGCATGCCCCCAACCCACTACATCAGCCGAACTTGTCCTGATGACTAAGCCAAGCGTTTATTACAGGGGAGTGAGAAAGGAGAAGAAACTTAAGCAGTGGGAAGATAGCACAGCAGGGGGAAGCTGATCCCAGATCACTCGGTTGTTTCAGGGCTAAGAAAAGGGCCATTAGGCCCAGGAAACAATATCAGCTCCGAAAGTGAAACTTGCTTTTTTTCTGTTCACGCATTTCTTTGCTTCTCTCAACGTGTTACACGTGGTTCTATTAGAGGCTTTGGAAACCGCCTACTGCAGTGCAGGGAGCTACTTAAACATTACGGAAGTGAAGTAAATATAAGCAAAAGTAGTAAATCTGCGCCTAGGCGTCGCGCTGGGCAGGGGCGGCTGGGCGGCCCCCTGTGGCCTCGGGCGGAGTCCCACGGGCCTCGGGGGCCCTGGGCGAGCCCGGCTCTGGGGCCCGCGAGGGGAGGGGCCCGGGCCCTTCCCAGCTGCCTCTCTCGAGTCACGCACTGGTTTTTAAACAACACGGGGACCCGTAAGAGGCTCAGCGCTGGAGTGCAGTGTCCTCTAGCCAGAAACGGGGCAGCATTAGGGACTTGGCGTCGAGAATGAAGGGAAGCAGCGACACAGCCACAGCCCCGCGCTGAGACACCGCGCAGAGGGCGGGACGCACACGCAGCCCCTCGCCGCGGGCAGGAGCAACCCGGCGTTACCTGGCCCCCCGGCGCGGAGAAGTCCACCACGCCGCGCAGGTCGGACACGTCACGCTGCCGGTAGAAGCGAAAGAGCCGGCGAAACGCGTCCTCCCCGCCCTCCCGGGTCAATGCTGCCGCCGCCGCCATTTTGGGCCGGCCGAGGCGGGCGATGCTGCCGGGGCGGGGCGGGGCAGGCCGGGCTCTCCTTCCCGCCCACCGCAGTCCCGACATGGCGGCGGCCGGCGCGGCGCGGGCGTTTGGGCGCCGTTCCCGGCAGCTCTTCGACATCTTTGTGGCTGAGGTTCCCTGGACAGTGTCGAGCAGTGAGTCTGCCCCCTCATCTCTCCCCTCCTTCCCTGGCCCATCCTTCACCGGTGCCGAAGCTGGCGGGGTCGGGCGGCCCCTCCGCGTGTGCCGGCACAGGCCGGGGGTCGGGCCAGAGCGGCGCGGCTGCGCGGAGGCGGCGGGCCGGGGTAACCAGGCGCGTTTCCCCACAGAGGAGCTGAAGGAGTACTTCTCCCAGTTCGGGTCGGTGCAGAGGTGCCAGCTGCCGTTCGTGAGTACCTGCGCGTCCTCTGGGCCGCTGTTCATGCCCTCTTAGTGAAGCGGGGAAGAGCTGGCGGCTGGACCTGCGGCTGAAGGCCTGCCCCGGAGCAGCTTCCCCGCTTCCTAGGAGCTGCTCTCTGGAGGCCTTATCTTGTACTCTAGTCTGGTTTTCAGTGCTCGCCACCCTTGGCTCCTTCTCCCAGCGGGTGCCACCACTTGTCTGCGAGCTGTAGGCCTTATTGAAACTTAATGGTCTCCGTTGTACAAAGCACATCTCTCAGATCCTGTTGATGCTGCCAGTTCTGAATAACGAACCGAAAAGTGGTTTGAGCTTCTCTATCTTGTTATCATTCTTCTGACAGAGAATAAAGGTTTTATGTGCCTGGTCTTACTGGCCAAAATACTAAAGGTGTGGGTATGAACCTACAGTCGTTTCCTGCTGTGGGTTCAGACCCCATCCAGAGTGTGGGGCTAACCATAACCTCTGCAGGGTGCTGCCAAGCTGTTTGTGCCTCTACCGTTTAGGCTGTTTATCTTCTGAGCATGTAGGTCAGGGATCGTACTATCCAGTGCAGTTCCTTAGAGATGAACGGTCAAAAAAAGTTTTCCTTTATGGGTAAGTTGCCGACCATCACTGAAGTAGAAGTTCTCCTGCCTGCTTGTGTTTCTTCATGTGAAGTAATGGTCTGTTAGATTAAGCTGAGTGTGTAGTGAGCTCCAGTTAGTGAGCTGATGGGTTTGCTATCAGTTGAGGACTAATTTGGAAATGGAAAAAGACAGTTTGAAACAGGCTGGCTATTTCCAAACACTTGAAGCTTAGGTGCCTGCCTGCCACACTGTTCCTCAGGCCCAGGACAGGCTGCATTGCGTTGTTGCAAACCCAGCTCCATCACTGATTGAAGTGACACCCATGTGTATGTTTTGATTCAGCGATTACTTTAGGAGTTTCATTAATGCTTAAAACTGCCAGAGATACAAAAATCTGTCAGCAGTGTAAGACAGTCTAATTTAGACATTGCTGTGATACTGAAACCAGACAGTACCTTGTGGGCAAAACCTTCACTGGTGGTTTGGGAGTGCTGCCAGTCATGCCTGATGATCAGTGGCAGATTGAACCTGAACCTGATTGAACCCTGAATTGAATTCTGCTTTCTTAGTCTCTTAAGCAGCTGCTTTATCTTGCTAAATGCTTTTCAAGTACTGCAGCCACTTAAATGTCAGTTCTGTTGTGACTGGCTTATTAGTAGGTAAATACTGCTGTTTGAAACTACTGTCTCTGCATTATTACAGGCTTCAACTATAACTTAAAATCTTGAATTTTTTTATTATTGCTAGATTCAAATTGAAAGGGAGGCAGAACAGCCTTTGCTAGGCCCCCACATGCTGTCAATGATAGCAAAAGTCTTAAAGTGTGAAAAAAGCTCCTGAAACAGCAAGTGTGCCAATTTCTCTGATAATTTCTGAATCCTTAAATTCAATATCCACAGAAAGTTTTAACAGCCTATGTGAATATTTCATATAGTAATTGTATCTTACTTTTTTAACTGGTGATTAGGACAGAGATACAGGCTTTCACAGACGTTATTGCTGGATTAAATTCTCAACTCCAGAAGATGTTCAGAACGTGTTAAAGAAGGATTCCCACATACTTGAAGGTTCCAAGGTAATGTGCTAATTTCCTTAATGAAGTAATGAGTTGACACTCTGCCTGTGATTTGACACAGTAACATGAAAATATTCAAAGTGTGATTAAGCATTTTGCTACTCAGCATGCTTTTAACGTTTTCTAAATAATTAACACTTCTCTTTATTCCCTTCTCTCACTTCAAGTTGTTAGGGTCGAAGATCATTGAGATACCACAGAGATCACTCTCTAGAGGCCAAAAACTGCTATGCTAAAGGAATGTGAATACAGTAAAACCGTTTGAGATCTGCAATGCAATTAGTTTGTAATTTGCAATACAGGTTTCTGCAGATGGATTCTAATATCTAATCTGGATGTTGGTTGACAGAGGAAACATGACAAAGTAATGCTAATCTTTGAACTTCAGTGAAATTTATTTTACTTCAGCCATCATTTCATACAGGAGAAATCAGCTGCCTGCTTTCATGTGTTCAAAATAAAAAAACCCCTAATTTAAAGTTCTCTCTATCTTTAACATTTTACATGGTAGTGAAGGAAAAAATGTGACACTTTGGTAATGTCAGTGCATGGTATTGAGACAGTGTGCATGGTCTAGTGCAAGTGTGTGTCATTGACTGGTCACTTAGAGCCAGACAGCTGTATCCTCTATTTTCACTGCAGCAAAGAAATGGAGCAAAGAAACGGCCATCCCACTGCTTTGCAAATATTTAGTATGCAGTGGTGGTGACAGATAAGGAAAAAAAAACAGTGAGTCAATGGCTGCCCAAAGCCAGTGATTTATTATCAGGTCTCATGTCAAAATCATTAGAAACTTGCATCTAGTGTGTTCCCTAAATTGGGGATTTTCTTACAGACTTATATGTGCTTCAGCTGATCTCGCTACTCAGACCTAGTAGTGCAGAGTGAAGCCATGAGCAACAAGCAGGCCAGACACGATCAATTCATGCCTTTGAATAATTAATAGGAATTCTTCAATATCCTTTTGACAACTAGTTGCTCTGTCTTGAGACTATGAATGCTAGGAGATGGTAAGAGTAAAATGAATTGGCAAGAGATTTCAGAGATGTAGTATGCTGATTGTGAGGAAGTGTTTTGCTTGACATGGTTCATACTACTGCAGTGGTCTTCATTGGTTGTGGTTACCTATTCCCAAGAAGAACTGACCTGTGAGTTACAACTGTGGTACAAAAATGGAAGCAGAAATTAAAGACTCCTTAAACTCTGACAAGACAGGCAGTAGTCTGATCTCACATAAATTGTGCTGAACTAGGGTGTTATCTGTATGCAATTACCAAAATAAGTACTAGAAACAGTATAGGTGAGTAGTGTCTATATCCTGTAAACTATTTTGCTGCTTTTTTATTCTTGAAGCTGTAAAATAGCCACATTCTTTAACTGCCTAGGCTTCAAGGCCTATACTCTCACAAGAGGTGCAAGAGCTAAAAGGCTTCTTTCTGGTGAAATAAAAAGCATAAGGCAGAGAGCAGTTAGCTTCATTTCTTAAAAAATGCAAGCTTCTCTAGAATACATGAGCACTTCTCCCACTTCATTCTAGGCCAGGTTTAGACAGTTACTTTCCGTTAGTTCCACTTGAAAGCACAAGCTTTAAAGATGCATTTTGCTGATAGAATCAGCAATTGCTGTGCAATACATATTCAACTTTGCTGTCAGGAAAGCCTTATCCTGGGGCTCATGGAACTGAACCAGTTATAAACATATTTTTCTGCTTTCCATATCAGTGTTCTGGATGATCGGAAACGAAAAATACTGAACCTTCTTGACTAGCTAATCTGAATAATTTCCATTGTTTTCAGCTCACTCTCAAACAGCAGACCCGCAGAAGACGCAGTCAAAGAAGGAATCCAAGGGAGTGAGTGGTGGAAGGAGGCTTTATTTCACTAAATGTAAAGAAACTAAAATAAAGATTACTGAGAAACTATGAATGAGTACTTTTTTTAAAACAGAATCCAGCTGTTTCCCCTCCCTTGTTCAGATAAATGGTATAGCCACACTAAAGAAACACTGAATCATAAACACCCCAGCATCTGTTACAGCATAAGACAGTAATTATATACAGCAGGAAAGCTTTTAACAGATTAAGTCAAAGCTTGAACTACCTACAAAAACTAAAGCCGTAGGAAGGAGTCTACATTCTTACCCTGAGATGCTGGGCAAGGGAGAATCAGCAGAGTCAGAGAACTTGCTAAGAATAACTAATTCCCTTATGAAATGTTTCAAAGTGGTCTCTACTCCTCCTCTCTCCAGGGGCAGCTGTCCTATGTAGAAGAATGGGTGTGTGTACAGATCTGCACAAGAGTTGTGAACAGCTATGTTACAATGCAATCCACCTATATGTGTCTGATATTAAAAATTCTTTTGCATGAAGTCCAAGCTTTAAGTCCGTTTCCCAACCTCTCCAGGAGCAGAGGCATTTAGTCCTTCCTCCTCTTTTTGCTCTCATGCTCATGTTCTTTGGGGCGGCTGCTATCTGAGGGCCGCTTAGAACCACCGTGTTGCTTAGCTTCTTCCAGAAACTTGTCCAAACCAAATGGATCCTCCTCAAATTGAACTGGTCCATCTCTGCCCCTCCCTCTGGTGTTACGATCCGAGTTAGAAAATTCTTTGTCAGGAACAAACCTGCAGGAGAAGGTGATACTCAGCTGAACAACTTCAGAGTAGTAATTAAGAATATTTCTTAACTTTGTTTTCTTACCTGTTGGTCTTGATTCGAGCTTCTAGATCATCACCATACATGTCCTTATCCACATTTTTACTTGGCCTGTAGATGTTTTGGGCCATATCTTTGCCACTTCTCCAAGGCTGGTCGTAAACATTATAAATTTCATCCTCTCCTCCAGCAAAGCCACTGTCCATACCCTGTGAAGAACAGCAGAACACCACAAATGAGACTGCAAAACTTCAGCTAACTTATTTTAACGTCAGAATACACTGATGGTGTTACTCAGATACACAAAAATGGTATTGTGTGATTTACTATTGATTTCAAATTATTCCGAGCAGTTAATCAGGATATGACTGGGTTTGGGATGAAGTCCAGAGTACGTAACATTACAAGCCTCAGTCCTCTTCCAAAGAGCAACAGGAAGGATTATAGCCATCCATATTTCAAAATAATGGATCATTTCAGTCTACCCTACAAGTACAGCTGTCTACTAGCTAAGTAGCTATGTGTAGCTAATGTGTATTATTCAGAATTTCTGGAAAACGCAATTTAAGCTGACTGATCCAAATCACACAGAGACGTAGAAGTGCCTGCTTGTTCGTTTTTAATTCATCAGCTTTCCCTTCTGCCTGCAAATCTTTCATTGGAGACATGAAAAAGAATGATTGACAAACTGCAAGTCTATTCAGGAACTTTCTGAAGCCTAATCTACTTTTTCATCTCTGAATAGTATAAAGTTCAGGGAAAAGAAATATCACTATTAACTATTTATATCTTGCAAAGCATTATTAACATAAGCAATAATGGGAATAGAAAGTATTTACTTGCTCCTCTCTGAAAGCAGATTTCCCTATTCAGTCAGTACATTTGTACAAGAGAAGAAAATGAGGTCACTGCAGCTTGAAGGCAAAAATAATTTCTTTCTCCCCACTCCCCAGTGAGAAAAATAACAACACTTTAATCCAGTTATACATTCAGAATATTACATTTTTTTTGCTAAGGCTATGGATAAAGGAAATTAATAATTTCCTAACCAGTTCTGTAGAGACTTCTTTCAGAGTGTATCCACACCAACCATAAAAACAGGCTCACTTTAGTATTCTACCCATACCCACTAAGGAAGGATGAGCATGTTCTCATAGAAAGCTACAGAGCTGTGAAAAGGTATTTTACCTTGCTCTGGTTGAACAGCCTCTGGTCATATTGGATTTCATTGGATGGCCTGGGGTTGGGTACGCCTAGGGCAATAACTTCACTGATATCTCTGTTCTCATTTCTCTGCAGCTTTGACCTGAATTAAAAATTTAAAGTTTTATTAGGTCAGTAAACCATACTTGTTGACATGCTCAATTGCAACCTGATCCTGTATTAGTTGCTAACCATTTGGCTCAGGAGCCGGACTTTGACTGTTGCCCTTCCTTACAAGGTAACATTTAAAATTTGTCTCCTGGCAAAGGAAACATTTGGAAAAGTTATGTTCAGCTGGGCATGACATTTAAATTTGCTTTCCACTATCTTCAATTTACATCAAGCTGACTTCGTCTAAAATGTCATATTTGTTTTTTGCAAGAACCAGTGTAGTAGTTATATTCTGGGAAGGCCAAGCAATCCAATTTTAAGATATTAGAGATTTTAAGCCTCCAGAAACCATTTGTGCAGAAATCTCACTGGCTTCAGCAAACAAGATACTTCACCCTACATTCATAAATCTAAGCTTACTTTAAATTAATAGTTTCGAGAAACAAAGCCACCATTGATACTCTGGTCTCATCGAAGTTATAGGATCAAGGTTTCAACCTTTGCTGTCAACACTTTAATTAAATCTGAATATACTGAAGTTCTGCTAAAAAACCCACCCAAAACCAACACACCACTCCCCCCTTTCTCATTCATGTTGAAAATTCTACATTGAAGAGAGTATTGCAGTATTTTAAGAGAGTAATAACTTTCCATACAGTGAACAAACTGTGCTTCATAACAGTAAATATCTCCACAAGGTACAATTCAGGCACTTACACTGAGCAGAAGAAAGCCCAGTGTAATAGTCTCCCTAGTGGGAAAGCCAGTGCCAGTACAGGAATAAAGCAGCTTTTTCTTGTGACTCACCTTTTGTCAGGGGCTGCCCGGGAAAGATTTCTGTCATGCTGTCTCTCTTTGCGCCGGTCATGTCTGATTTCGTCTCTTTCTCTAGCTTCTCCATCCTCTGAACAAATGCAAGATTGCTCATTATAGACAAATATTTGAAGTTTGAATTAATTATGCCACAGACACTGGCACAGTAATTCTATTCAGTATTCTTTTACAGAAGAGTAGTGACACTTACCACTGTTTAAAATGTTACACTTTAAAGAAACTAAACACATGGAACACCACAGGTTCTTGTGCCACAAGCAATTGACTGTCCTTTACAAGAATCAAAGCAGACATATCCCAACATCTGTGTTTTCCCAACCTTTAGAAGCTTACAATACTTGTCTGTCTAAGAATTAATATCCTAAAACACTTACAGATCATTATATCATAATTTAAGTGTAAAAATATTGTTCAAACACACAGGGATTTAAGTGCTTTGAAGAACATTCCGTGATGCAGTATCAGAAAATCACTCAGGTTGGAAGGGAGTCTAGTTCACGACCTCCTGCTGAAAGCAGGATCAATGCTGAATTCAAACCAAGTTCTTCAGGGCTTTTCACACTCAAGTGGGGAAAACCTGCAAGGATAGAGACTGCCAGACTTCCTAGGCAACCTGTTCCACTGCTGCTTGTCCTCATGGTGAAAATTGTTCTCCTCTCATGTAGTTGGAACCTCTTGCTTCAACTCTTGATCACTGTCTCATTCTTCCACTGTGCAGCTCAGTGAAGACCTCTGATAATCTTGTAGAGATCACTGTGGTATGATCTTGTGGGAAAGCTCCCATTAGCTGGCCCCAAAGCCACATCTCCTGGCAGAACAAGCTTCATTCTCTCAGCATCTCCTGAATAGGCAGATACTCAAGCCCTCAGACTATTTGGATGGCCTTCCACTGAATTGTCCATATCCCTCCACCTTCTAGAGAGACCATAACTGCTAAGTTCATCATCTTGATCTTTGAAGTGTAATTTCAATCAAAGCATAACATTTATCACAATGGTTACAATTTAGTTAGGTTAGCAGGGTTTTTTTGGGCTTAGTGGCCAACAGAACTACAGTTCTGCAAGACTAGTTATAACAGTGCAGGAAACAGAATATTGCATTTACCACCTTTGAAAACTTAAAAGATGGTTTAGTTCTTCTAAACAAAGTTGCCCTTCACCTGCAACAAGCTTCTTCTAAAAAAATAATTAGTTTAGAACCGTCTAAGAAAGCCATCACTTGCACTGCTGCATTACTAACTCTGAAATTCTTAATTGTCCTAAACCTGTATACACCCAGGTTCAAACCTGGATTCCATCAAACCAGCCAGTCAATTAACCAATCGACTGAAGACATGAACAGATGTCATGCTTAGAAATTTCAGCTGGAATTTAGATACTATAAGTTCTCAGGTTATTGCTCCAAACCCACAATGCAGAGTGTTAAAAAAAGCCATAGCATCTTAATAACACAGAAATGTACCTTTTTCAACATGGGTTTTGATCCCTGCTCTTCTCTCCCTGGCTTTCTGAGCCATTTCTCGGAGCTTTTCCTCATGTTTCTCCTTTTCCTTCTGAGCCATCTTTCTCTCCACCTGGGCACGCATCTCTACTGCCTCACGAGCCTGCACAAATAAGACACGGTTAAAAAGACAGAAAGCCTAGCACACCTGGGAGACAAGCAGATCTTCTGTTATGGAGTTATCCAGTAAACAGGACAGAAGCCAAAAGAGGAAGCTTAAATCCGGACAGCCATAGCAGTTAGAGCTGAGAGAGAAGACACGTGACTTCCAATAACTTAACCCACACTGAGCCACTGATTCAGACACAGTGGGGATAAGACCTTTAGTCTTATGTTAACCAGGAAGCAGGACAAATCAAAAAGCTATAAACTATTCACAGTTGATTTTCCCAAGGAAATAAACATACAAAGAAGGTAAAACGATATGGAACAAAACAGTTTAAACAACCACCTGACCTTTCTGTCAGCAATGTAGAGCGCCTCAGCAAGCTTGGCAAAGTTTTCATTAATATGAACAGTCTGCAATCCTCTGCCATCCGCAGCCAGACGCTTATCTAGTGGAATGGTGTAACCCTACAGTGAACACAGAGAGGAAATTAATCACAGAAACATTATTTGTAATA